ATCATTAAAAAGTCAGGAAGTGACTGGAGTGCTGGAGAGGATGTGGAGAAATAGGAACACTTTTACATTGTTGGTGGGACTGTAAACTAGCTCCACCATTGTGGAAGACAGTGTGGCGATTCCTCAAGGATCTAGAACTGGAAATATCATTTGACCCAGCCATCCCATTACTGGGTATATACCTAAAGGATTATAAATCATGCTGCTATAAAGACATATGCACACGTATGTTTATTGTGGCTATTCACAATAGCAAAGACTTGGAACCAACCCAAATGCCTATCAATGATAGACTGGATTAAGAAAATTGGCACATATCCATGGAATACTATGCAGCCATAAAAAAGGATGCGTTCATGTCCTCTGTAGGGACATGGATGAAGCTGGAAACCATCATTCTCAGCAAATTATCTCAAGGACAGAAAACCAAGCACTGCATGTTCTCACTCATAGATGAGAATTGAACAACGAGAACACTTGGACACAGGAAGGGGAACATCACACACTGGCGCCTGTTGTGGGGTGGGGGGAGTGGGGAGGGATAGCATTAGGAGACATACCAGATGTAAATAACGAGTTAATGGGTGCAGCACACCATCATGGCACCTGCATACATATGTAACAAACCTGCACGTTGTGCACATGTACCCTAGAACTTAAAGTATAATAATAAAAATTTTTTTTTAAATTTAAAAAGAAAAGTGCTTGTAAATTAATTACAGCAGAATGTTAATTAACAGCTCTAATGCCAAGTACAGGGGTGGCTCCATGACTCATCAGCAGACCCTCCCTGACGAAGCTACCAATTAGAGACAGACTATTACAGTCAGAGTCACTCTAAACGTAAAAAAATAAAGATGTGGGTGGGGCCAAGAGCCATAATCAGTGAAGCAGCTGATTAATCCATGAATCTGCAGGTATATTTAGCTATTCATACAACCAGCATTACCTTATATATGGAAAATGGGGCTACTGAACCATTTAAACCATTTAATATATTTTTTAATTTTAATTTTTATCTTGAGAGAGAGAGTTTTGCTCTTGTTGCCCGCAGGCTGGAGTACAGTGGCACGATCTTGGCTCACTGCAACCTCTGCCTCCAGAGTTCAAGTGATTTTCCTGCCTCGGTCTCCCGAGTAGCTGGGATTACAGGCGTGTGCCACCATGCCTGGCTAATTTTGTATTTTTAGTAGAAATGAGGTTTCACCATGTTGGCAAGGCTGGTCTCGAACTCCTGACCTCAACCGAAGTGCCTGCCTCAGGCTCCCGAAATTCTGGGATTATAGGTGTGAGCCATTGTGCCTGGCCTAAATCATTTAAAAATAGTCACCAGGGATATGCTTCCCACAAAATAATACCACCCCATTAACATGCTGGCATTTTCCCAAGAGCACTGTGTAAATATACTACATCCCCTTCTAACTCTCTACACCACTTCAATTCACATGTCAGCAGGACATATGTTTCCCAGGCGAAATATTATAAAGAAAAGTAATACTAGGCTTGGGGAATTTCTGTTTCAGGAAGATCTTCAAGGTACCCTGGTGTGGTCACAAGCCTAGGGAGCCTATGACGCAGACAGAAGTTCTCAAGACTCATTCTATTGCTGACAGTTTCATGGAAATCCAGGGCCCAATTCTCCCAGCATGCTGCCTGTTCCCACTCCTTGGGCACGTTCCTGGCCATGTCATGCTCTGACTGACCCACTGGTCAGCAACTGTGGCAGGGCTCATTTGCAGTGGCAGCTGTGACTGCCTTTGGAAGCAGGAAAACCTGTCCGGCATTTCCATTCTCTCATATGAAACCTAAAAGCAATGCTAATCAGCACGATGCATTTTCCCTCTTTTTGGAAATGAATAGTGGTAAGTCTTGTAAAATCCCAATACTCTGAATTGCTATCCTGGCTACCACCCCAACATTTAAAGTATGTTAATGATGGAGATATACATGTCAGCAGTCAGATTTTAACATAAAATTAACGGCTGGATATCTCAAAGGCCTAAATTACTATTAATTGTATGCAAACACTAGCTCTAAGGATATCCTTTACAGCAGGAGGTTGTAAGTCACTGTATCAAAGTCTTAAATCAACAGCCATCTAGTTAGCTAATGCTTTCAAGGTGTGCCAGGAGAGAAAGGACAGGATGATCTTCTCTTACTAAAGAGAGATGGATGAACAGCTGCAAGCTTTGCTGTTGTTTTAAAGCATCATGGAACCAACTACCGAGAATAAGAAATAAAATGTAAGCAGGGTCAGACTTGTTTATTACATATCCTTTTAAAATATCCTTTTGTTTAAAAAAAAAAAGTTAATTAAAATTATTGCCTGTGTTCCCTACAGAGAGTACATTTAAAACAATGCAGAGTAGCAAAACCCCTTATGTTCCAAACATAAGGTGTGCCTGTTTTTAAGTCTCAGAATAATTTGCGAACTTCCAATTTAATTATGACTGAACTTCAAGTCAACTGTTGAGTGTTCTAGAGATACGGTTTCTGTAGATTCCAGCTGGTAGCAAGTGGAAAGACTCCAAATACCTTAAAAATATGCCACGGAGTAGAAGGGAGGAGAGTAGTTAAAAAACAAGGAAGAGAAAGAAAGTTGTTCTTTCTGGTTTGACCACTAAAAATATAATTAGATGTATCACTTACTCTGTTTACTTACAGTCTCTCTGCATGTAAGATTTCTTCCAAAACCTGCCCTATCTTTCTGGAAATCCAAACTAAAATCCACTCTTTGTACAGTACAAGAAAAACAGAGGACTTTAAATTCATTTAAATAAAAGACATCTAGACATCTTGAGATATTCTAATTTTATCACTAGGACCCCATTCAGTTGGAAAAGACATAGCATCATAGTTTTCCACTCTAAATATATCAGGAATACATGAATGCATTTTAATTAATATGCATAGTATCCTTATTAAAATTCAGATGCTATATTTGAGGAAAGTCCAGAGTGTCAAAGAATCTTGTGTAAACCTGAGGTGACGTTATCCTTTAGAAAGAACAGGGGAGGGAAGCGTTGGAGCAGAGTTCTTGGCTGACCACCCACGTGGGGCCATTGTCAACTTCAAATTTTACTATTCTAATGTTTGTCAACTGTCGTCTTTCCAGTAAACATCTAAGGCAGGTCAGTGAGGAATAGGAAACCACATTACTGGGCTTTTAAATCAGCATGGTCTTTCAAAATCATGCTCATTTACAGGAGAAAACTGTGTGGCATAAAAAGCCACCATGAATTATTCATCAGTTACAGCATGTGCCAACCTCGGATTCCTTTGTACCTCTTAACAAGTGTGTACATGTGAAGTGTAGCAGACCCGGCTCCCCAGTCCTACCAGTCCTGGGTACAAAGGCAAACCTAAGCTCACCGGAGGTCCTGCGAAACAGAGAAGAGTGGCGAGATCGGAAGTGAAGGAGGGAGGCAGCCCAGCTGATCTGCCTTATCTGGAGTTACCCACGAGTCTACTCTCCAGGAACCAAAATAAGTTACACTCTCTTATCTTAAGGGGTCCAGTATCAAAGGAATCAGCAACCGATCGCCACAGTTCCTAGGTTTCAATGGAGCAGCCTGCGAGACTGTGTGGGGCCACCCTCTGCAGCTCTGTTGGACGTGTTGGCTGTCCGTCCCTGGGGATGCTGAGCAGGACCAGCCAGGGAACTCCTGAAGCCAGCCTTACCAGGGAACAAACTCTCCCATCAAACACAACTGTAGGGAAAGCATCCTAGAGATGGCATCCAAACTCAAACAAAATGCCCAGAAATAGGATCACAGGTGTTTGCTCACAGTCACTGAAGATGCCTTTTTATGTGCTCAAAGGACCAACCTACTGTTGGTTGAGTTGAGCTGGGCTCCTGCTACAAAACAGACACGTCGATTTTAACATCCTATTCCATTAAGAATATCTGTAAATACATTGACAAATAAGATGTGCATTTTATACAGATATATACTATCACAGAAATAGATTGACATTTACTATAATAAGTGTAAAACAATTTTATCAAATGGAAAAGCCCTGCATCTTTTCTCATCTTTAAAGACACGGTCCACCCCAGACAGAATATATGCTGAGTTTACAAAACGGACGGTCTAACCTTTGTAGTCTCCGATGGTGTGATGAGGGTCCATGAGCTCAGTCATTTCCAAGGTCATTAACATGCACAAAGCTCCAGGGTTTCAGCTTTTCTTCACTAGGCATCTGGCACACAGAAAGGCTGCAACACTCCTCAAAGGAGAGGCTGGGGCCCTGGCTCTCCTCCCAGGAGTCTGTAGGCTGAACTGGACCCGAGGGAGGGGTGTGCCACCGGTGGGTGTGCCACAGCCAGCGCAGGAAGAATGGGGAGTTTCCTGAGTGAGTCTAGCTCCTTCCTCGTGTACAGAGTCTACATCCCCTTCTTCTCTCGACCCTGCCCCTACCACTTCTAAAGAGACCCCTTGCAAAAGCACATCAGCTCACTGACGCCACACCCGCTGAAAACACTCGTTTCTGGGAAGCCACTATTAGAACACGCCAAGAATGTTCCTAGGATTTTCCTGCACTCTGCACAATCCAGAATCCAGACTTTGGTCGCTATTATTTCACAATCATTGAAATGCATGAAACAAAGAAAGAAAAGGATCGATTTTTCCCAAGCCTTCTGCCTCCTCTTTTTCCTTAATAAATTACTATCTCAACCAGATGGGCTTTTAATTAGTTTCTTCAATACTAGAATTTTTAAAAAATACTATTACTTGGAGAGGCTTCTTTTACGAACAGCCTGATTATTCATTATGGTTTTGGAAACAGTTCCCTGACAAACTCCTGGTATGAGACGAGCCGTGGACTTTGAGCCTTTTTCTATTAGGTATACACACTGTCTGAAAACAATGACCTCATCCGGAAAGACTCAGGAAAGAGGCATATTTTTCCTTTCGTCAGTAATGCCCTGATGTTGGGCTAGATTATCCACCACCCACAATCCAACTTTTCTCCCAGTTATTTGTGAACACCAGGAATTTTGCATATCGGAAAAGTCACAAAGACAGTTTAAATGGAAAAAGACCCTTAGGACAAATATCCTTGGCATCAGATACACATATTGGCTAAGAAATAGGAGGAAACTGGCATAATTGCTTTCAGTGTGAGGGTATAACATTTAATTCCTCCAATAAAGATGTAACCAAGAACACCCATTGTGAGCTATTAATTTAATGTAAGGCCTATAATCAATCCACTGAAAAAGAAGACTATTTGAAACACACTGGGCAAATACAAAGTTTGATTAATTGAAGAGTCCCGGCTTACTGTCTTCCCCCGCTAAGTGGCTTTTTTGTTTTGTTTTGAAATGACTCGAGTAGACAGCCATCCTCATGTGTCACCCTATGTGCCCTTTCCCTGGTCCAGGCTACTGCCTGGAACTTGGTGCCTCTGATAACGTCCTCCTGACTTGGCTATAGCACCAGGCGCCAGACAACGAATCACGACTGGATTGCTCGTTGATAAAATGCTTGCCATTTGCAGAACTGTCATGTGTCAGCTGCTGCCAAAGGCCAGTCGTATCAACTGAAATCTTCTGATTGCGCCTAATGCCTTGCATTCTCATGATAGTGATTCCATATTTTAGCCTAACGTGTTTTTTGTTAGTGTCTTGGGATTTTTACCATAAGGATGGAAGTCTTTTATCCTTGCATTTTTTTTTATTCTTGTTAGCCTTCATTTAAAATGTAATGGAGGCTTGTTTTTCCTACTCCTTTAAATCTCGAAGTATTATTCCTACTTGATATTAAATGAGAGAAGAAACCAAGGGCAGAGCAACAGCTATTTTCAGGGGCTAAAATAGGGTTCTAGTTTAAAAATAACCTGCATTGCATTGGTTCCTTGCCTTTTACAAGGCAGGACAGGGGCAAAGTGGGGGAGTAGGCAATCCAATATTGAAACTTTGATTTTTTTTGAACATTAAGCAATAAAGTGATTCTTTCCTAATCATAGTCCTCCAAATTTGACTTGTGTTAGTTGAACCACAGATAATTTGGTTGATGATTTATTATAGTCAAGAAACTGGCCAGGTGTGGTGACTCATGCCTGTAATCCCAGCACTTTGGGAGGCTGAGATGGGAGGACAGCTTGAGCTCTGGAATTTCAGACCAGCCTGGGAAGTATTGCAGGACCTTGTCTTTACTAAAAATTAAAAAAATATTAGGCAAGCATGGTGGCCTACACCTATAGTCCTAGCTACTCAGGAGGCTGAGGCAGGAGGATTGCTTGAACCCAGAAGATTGGAGCTGCAGTGAGCCATGACCACGCCACTGCACTCGATCCTGGATGACGGGGTGAGACCCTGTCTCAAAAAAAAAGACAAAAACAAAAGAGGTGAAGCCAACTGCTTAGAAACTTGTTTAAAATGCACAATTTTATCTATTCCTTCCTCTTTTCCTTTCTTCCTTCCTTCTTCTCTCTTTCTTTCTTGCTTGCTTGCTTTCATAGGGTCTCACTCTGTCACCTAGGCTGGATTGCATTGGCACAATCACAGCTCACTGCAGCTTTGACCTCCTGGGTTCAACTGATTCTCCTGCTTCAGCCTCCCGAGTAGCTGGGACTACAGGCACGTGCCACCACGCCCAGCTAATTTTTTTTTTTTTTTTTTTTTAATAGAGACAGAGTCTCCCTATATTGCCCAGGCTGGTTTCAAACTCCTGGACTCACATAATCCTCTCACCTCTGCCTCCCAAAGTGCTGCGATTTACAGGCATGAGCCACAGCACCCGGCCTCACACAACCATTTTCTAATTAAATAGCAATGGAGCTTATACCATGTCATTTTGAAATCAGAGACATGGTTGTGTATTCCTTACCTTATCTGATTCAGTCATCTTAGAAACACAGAGCAGAAATCTTTCCCAACCACACTTCTAGAAGCCTTCACAGGAAAGTGACTGTCACTTAGCAAAGCAAATACAAACGCTTAAAATTGTATCTTCACCTGTATTTGAGAAATGCTTAATTAAATATTGTTAAACAGTTTTCTTAACCATGGACTTACTAGGTATTAATACGCAGGTGTGCCTGTAACTAAGAGATAAATAAGATAAGAAGCATTTCCTGAATTTATTCAACCAGAGAACCCTCAACCCAGTACAACTCTGAACTTCCCATGAAACAGAGCTTGGAAAATATTTCTCTGAGGAAGGAGAGGGCTAGAAAGGGTTTTAGAGATAATTTCCACCACAGTTTCAAAGATAAGAAGTCTTAAAGCCAGAATAATTTAGGGACTTGCCCAAGGCCCAGCATAGGATGTGTAAGGAGGACAATTCTCTTCTGTCTTGCGACATTTTGAATGGCTACAATAGGCCAGCATGCTTGGCTCTGTTTGCAATTAAGGTATGACTGATAGTGATGCTATCATACCCTGGTAACACAGATGCTGCTGTGTTCTTAGGCAAACAGCATACCTCACAACAGATTATGTTAAAAGACCTGGCCTAGGCCTGCTTTGCAATTACAGAATAGGAGACAAACCTTACCACAGTGTAATTTATGACAGGGCTGAGAGTGAAAAATAGCAGGTATCAGTAACAAAACATTCACAGGGCCTTGACCTCATCTTTTAAACTAAGCAGAAGAGACAGAAACTTGAAGCAAATTGAATTCCACATGAAAAATGATTCCACTGGGAAAGATAAAAACTAAATTTCTTAAAAGGTCAGATTCAATAAGGAAGAAGAAACTTCTAGACTTTATCTAGAAAGGCACAGGAAAAAAGTAATGATTTGGCATTTTCCCTGAGCTTGTCCTCCAATTACATTCAATTATAAGCCCAAATCATTGGTCCCAACCCAAGCTCAGCTATACGACTTTGTTGGTGATCAGTTTCCAGAACTATTAGGTTCTGCTCACCTACTAAAAGGAGTGTGCAGTTCACCACACATTTAAACAGAAAGCTTAACCTAGAAATGGTCTTTATAGCACACAACTACGTCCTCTGTGCTACGATTCCAATTTCTGCTGGAAATTGGTGGATCCCGTGAAATTATTTTTGTGACTGGAAATGAAAATTCCTGAGCTTTTCTGTTATCAACCCCTATGACATATAGTCACTAAGTGCATTCCACTTCTCATTATTCTTTTTATATGAAAAAACTCATGTAATCAAGAAACTTCTAGACTTTATCTAGAAAAGGCACAGGAAAAAAGTAATGATTTGTCATTTTCCCTGAACTTGTACTCCAATGATATTCAACTATAAGCCCAAATCATTGGTCCTATAAACTTCATAAACTGCAATGCTTCGTAAACTGCAAAGAAATGGCCTCATTATTGTTCATAGCTCACATTGACTGAGGGCTCACTCTCTGCAGATTCCCCTCATTGATTTCTTATAACCCTCTAGGGCAGGGACCATCATCATCTCCATTTTAAAGATGAAGCAGTTAAAGAAAAGGTGAGAAGTTAAAGAAATTGCCCTAAGTCACTCCGCTAACAAGGAGTATAGTTGGGGTTTGGACATAAGCAGCTAGAATCAGAGACCGTGCCCAGGATACTAAAACTATTTTCAAGAATACTAAAACAGCTCAGGATGAACCAGTAATCAGAGAAGATGCCAAAGCCATTTTCATGCCTGAAGTAATGGTAGGGTGATATAAAAGGCAAGTTCAGCAATCCAAAAATTTAGCGTATACCCAAAGGCTGTTTACGCCTTTTGCAAAACGTCTGAATACTCAAAGACTGTATGTGTGTAGGGAGGGGTTCTTGTTACTGACGTCAGAAGAATCATTTTTCTGAGTCACATTCTACTTTCAAGAGATTTTCCTGAATTAATCTCTTTCACAAAGATGGCTGATGGGTAGTCCCTGTCTCTACAGAGGCTGCAGGGAGGGAGGCCATCGTAGCAGGCTGCTTCTCTTACCTCATGGCTACTGTACAGGGCAGTTCACCAAGTTCAGGCAGGAGCTGCCATCCAGCATGTACCAGACCAGGAAGAGGCAGAAGACCCAGCTTCTTGTCCTGGTCCTATCATCAGCTCACCAATGACCCTAGGCAAATCACCTGTCTTCCAAATCTGTAAAATGGGCCAATAATAGCCATCCTATCTACCTTAGAATGAGTTTGACAGAGTTCACCCACAGTTTTTGTTTTTGTTTTTGACAGAATCTCACTCTGTTGCCCAGGCTGGAGTGTAGTGGCTCGATCTTGGCTCACTGCAACCTCCGCCTTGAGGGTTCAAGCAATTCTCATGCCTCAGCTTCCCGAGTAGCTGGGATTACAGGAGTGCACCACCACTCCCAGCTAATTTTTGTATTTTCAGTACAGACGGGGTTTCACCATGTTGGCCAGGCAGGCCTTGAACTCCTGGTCTCAAGTGATCCACCCATCTTGGCCTCCCAAAGTGTTGGGATTATAAGTGTGAGCCACTGCGCCTGGCTACACCTTTTCTGTTACCTCTTTTTCTTTTCCTTTCCTTGCCTCCTTCCTTCCGAATTCTTTTTCTTTTTGATTTTTTTTTCCTCTTTATGATCAGTATCTTTCAAAAAAGATTTGAGATGAAATTTCTAGCACACAGAAAACTGAACTCTCTACATTCAACAATCAGCTGGACAGGGAAGAGTAGTGAGTACATGGAAATCCACTTCCTGACTTGATGCTTATCCCAGTCACTGCTTGATGCTGCCCCTTAGCATCTGCCACCACCACCCCAAAATGGGGCTAATTTTTTATAGTTGTTATGTAGTTTTAATTTCATAATCATAAACTTAACTCAACTATTCAATCCAGCTAGACATAGGGAACAAGGAAAACATGGAACCCAAAGGGAACTGCAGAAAGAACACAAAG